TGGTGGTTGCCTTGTGTGTGATTGGGTTGCGTGATAGGTTTGGTGGGGGGGGGGGGGATTATGGTGTGGGGTTGTTTTTCAGGGGTTGGGCTTGGCCCCTTAGTTCCAGTGAAGGGAACTCTTAAGGCATCGGCATACCAAGACATTTTGGAGAATTTCATGGTCCTATCTTTGTTGAAACAGTTTGGGGATGGCCCCTCCCTGTTCCAACATGACGGTGCACCAATGCACAAAGCAAGGTCAATAAAGACATGAATGAGCGAGTTTGGGCTGGAGGAAATAGACTGGCCTGCACAGAGTCCTGACCTCAACCCGATAGAACACCTTTGGGATGAATTAGAGCAGAGAATGCGAGCCCGGCCTTCTCGTCCAACATCAGTACCTGACCTCACAAATGCGCTTTTGGAATAATTATCAAACATTCCCATAGCTGTTATAGCTGCAAAGGGTGGGCCAACTCAATATTGAACCATAGAGGACTAAGACTAGGATGCCATTAAAGTTTCATGTGCTTGTAAAGTGTCCCTATACTTTTGGCAATATACAGGTGAAACTCGAATAATTAGAATATCGTGCAAAGTTCATTTATTTCACTAATGCAACTTAAAAGGTGAAACTAATATATGAGATAGACTCATTACATGCAAATCAAGATAATTCAAGCCGTGATTTGTCATAATTGTGATGATTATGGCTTACAGCTCATGAAAACCCCAAGAACCCCAAATCCACAACATCAAAAAAGTAGATTATTTCATGCAATCAATAACGCAAGGATTGTACATAGAACAATATCGGACCTCTGAAAAGTACAAGCATGCATATGTACTCAGTACTTGGTTTGGGCCCCTTTTGCAGCACTTACTGCAATTACTTTTGCACGATATTCTAATTATTCGAGTTTCACCTGTAGTGTATGATGTAGCTCACTATGCCACGTGACTGTAGCAATGTGTTGTTCTGTAGCATTTTTTGGGGGGAGGGGGGGGGCATAACATTTTTTGTTATGGGGCCCTGTGATTTTTAGTTATGCCCCTGACTGGGAAGATCTTTCTAGGCACACATTTTTTACAGGCTGTGTATGATAGAAGTTTTCACGCACACCAATATGATGTAAACTGACCTCAATTTGGGTACACATAAATTGGAATACAATTTGGAATACTAATAATGATAGGAAAAATCTTGAAAAGATATGTACAAGAACACAGACATGCTTTTATATTAATTTGGCATGAAAAACAAACTTGTGAAGAAAAACAGGTAAAACATGCTAACCCAGCTTCATGGTTCCTGCCTGAATTCTTTGTTAATTTTCATACATTTTCATTTTGTTTGCCATCAGCTAAATAGCACAACACTTTAACATCTGAAACTGCTTTCTTTTCAGTGCCTTCACCAGTTCCAGAGGTTTGACTCTCAAAATAGCCCATCATTTGGGTGAGGCACAAGATACTTAAACCTGCTACAGGTCTGAGTTCCTGCACTCTACACCTAACAGCAGATTTTTAAAGTGATTTGAGGTTTTTTTATTCAAGTTGAGAATACTAAATGATCATGAGTTTTGGTTAGGAGAGCAGATCTTTATTTTTTTTAAATTTCAGTTTGGTCCATAACGGTAACCTAAACTGGCATATCTGTGACGTTGGTAATATGGGTTCAATGACACTTTAAGCATTTTAGCACATAGGTATGCTTTAAGCAATGTAGTGGTGAATTAGTAAGTAGTTAATAAAGTAGAGTGTAATGCTTTATTCGTTTTTAATATAACGTTTATTACTAAGTAGGAAATAATATACAGGGGTTTATTACTTTATTAGCAAGTAATGCATGGTTTATAACTACTAAGATTATACATATTAAAGTATAATATACATTTTTGTGTTTTTGTTTCATGGCCTGCTAATTACTTTGAAGCCATTCTCCCTTTTTGGAATTTCCTTTTTCTCTTATGTTTCACAGAAGAATTAGACTCATTTTGCTGCAGCAAGTTTGAAATAGGAAAGAGATCACACCAGAAACCTGAGAAATGCATTTATACCTGGTGGGCAATTCAGCTTATATGTAATTAACTAGTATCATCCTGAGAGTTCAGGTGGCCATACACTGTACAACCATCGCAAGATCTTAGTCTTGCGATGGTTGTAAAGTGATTAAAAAAACGTACGATCTGCCCATCTTGGACAGGCAGATCGTACTCTCGATCATCGCAAGCCCGCCCCCCTGAGGGGCGGGCTTCCGATGACCGCAATGCTGAATGGCAGTGTGCGCGTGCGCACACTGGCCCGTTTGGCATTTGTCTCCCGAGCACCGTTCTAGCGGTTTTCTAGCGTGCTCCTTAGACAAAAGACGTACGACCGTACAGTAGAAACGGTCACACGTCTTCGTTCACACTGCTCGATTCTCGTACGACTAATGTTTGGACTCTACAAAGACGTCTTTGAAATCAAAGTGTGGTAAATGTCACACGCTCTTACTAAATGTTGTGAGCTGGAAAAATATGTAAGAGAGGATCTTTTCTTTTGCCCATGGCCACATCAGTGCCACTGTTGGAACCTGTGAGGCACTGAAAATAAAGGAGTAGATTGTTTCTGCTCTGTAGGATCTGGAGGAAAAAAGTAGTAAGGGCTATCAATTAGAACTATGAAATCAAATAGGATAGCATTAATTTTTTCCAAAATTTGCAGCAAATATATGCACTAATGTTTACTATGCACACAACCCCCATACATGGGAGTCTTACTGCTCTTGCTGCAGCAGGGGGAGTCTTTCCCTCCATTCAGTATTGAATTATGGTTTAGCATGACAGCCAGGCAGCTTGCTTTTATAAGAAGGCAGTCAGGCATGGCAGCCCTTACATGACTTGTATATAAAAACTTGGAAAAGTGTGCCTGGTCTTTAACAGCCAATGTTGGGAATAGAATGAAACAATACTAGAAATGCAATACTAGAAGAACAATACAAGTGTCTTAGCAAGCGGTATGTGCAGGAGAGGAATGAGGATGATATGATAGCAGGCAGTATGTGTAAGGGTGCAGGGGTGATGGGGTGCACCCTATGATGCATTTGGCACCCATTCACAAATCTGAGTGATTATAAAGTATCAGCATAAATGCTGAACTCTTCCAACAGAGGGTTATACAAAGGAGGCATAGAGGTCACAATCAGTGTTAAGAAAACAAGCCTGCTAAAACTGAAGCAAATTATTCCAGGAGGTGGAGAGATTACTATTAGACCAGGGTCACTGGAGATGAGTGTCACATGATGCTTGTGCTGGAGATTAGCTGCTGAGGGCTTAACACACATGAACTGAGCACTAGGGGGTTATTACAAATGTGCTATGGACTGGCTGCGGGGGGGTTAATGTACATGAGCTGCAAACTTGGCACTGAGGCACGAACATGTGCACGGTTACCTGAATGCTTGGGAGATAACACGCATGGGCTGAGGACTGGGTGTTGAGGGGTTAATGCTTATAAGATGGGGACTGGTCACAGAGGGGGTAATGCGCACACACACTGTATACTTGTCACTGAGTGGTTAATTGAGGCTTATGACTGAGGGGAAAATACTCATACAATGTAGACTCGTAACTGATTTAATGCACATACACTGGTGCTGGTGTTAAAGATGGCTGTGTACTGGAGGGTCCCAACTCACTGTTGGCCTGGATACCGGTAAGTGAGGTGTATGTTTACACACACACGCAATGTCGTAACACACACACACAGCAAAGTTACCAATAAGCAATGAGAATCTTTATGCTGGGGCGTGGCCTGAGCCGCTGAACATGGCAGACGTGTGCTGATTCAGCTCCTCTTCCTCTGGGCACCTGCCGCCAACTTTCTCTAGCTATCTGCATCGAATCTACCCCAAACCTTCCCCATTACCATCCCAGACCTGTTCTCCCCCCCTTTCCCAACCCTCCCCCCGAGCTCCTCCCTGCCTCCAATCCCCTCCACGAAATACTCCCCCCCTCCTCCACCCCACCCCCCACAGGGCCGACTATTTTGATGCTCCCCCACATGACTGTTTCTGATGTTTATTTGAATTCATTGTATCGCAAAACCTAATAAAACATATTGAAGAGAATCTTTGTGCTGATCCTCCAGACTGCAGGGGACATGTATTAATATTAATTATATTGCACAGCAATTCTAAACAGGAGCATAGAGACAGATTCTGACACTGATATTGCAGCTTGATTCTTAAATTCCTCCATGATGGAATAATACCTTCCCCCGACCACCTCTTAATTGTGTGTCTACTTGGAATAAAATTCTGTCTCATCTGGATAAAATATTTCTCATCTCTAGTGTTAACTCTGTCACAGACATGTCCAAAACTGTGCCAGTTTGCTCCCCATGATTGCACGACGAAAATATAAAAAAAAAACTGTCTTTGGGAACTGAGTAGCAGTATTATTTGAGTCTAAATTTGTTGCTAATTTGCTTTATGCATACTATTACTGATTCACAGTGTGTGACTTAAAGCCGGAGACAGCTGCAACCATTCCTTTTGCAGCCTGTCCCTCCAATGAGGACTGGAAGAGCAGACCAGGTATCAGCAATTGACCGTCACCGTTCTCTGCTGCGAGCAGATCGAGAGTTGATAATCTGCACTCATGTGATCTGTCAGCTACCAGTCTTAGAGCCAGCCTGGGACAGCTGCATTGTCACATGGATACAGCAGCATGGATATGGGTGTTTTTTTTTTTCTTTTCTTTTCCTTTTCTTTTTCTTTTTTTCTTTATCAACCCAATAATTTAACCGGTAGAATGGCTGTTCATGCATGAACATTCGTATTGAATCAGAGAAGCATAGTCGGCATGCTTTGTGTAATTATATGTATTGCTGTGGGCTTATCAAACGCTGTTTTGATCACTATTTATGTTAAACAGAAAAGGAAGGTGACAATGATGTTGTCTTTGCTGAATAGCCTATGTGTATGAATATATTCATTTGTACTGTTTTTTTTTTTTTGTTTTTTTTTTATTTTAGCTGCAGACTATGGTTGACTTATTGGAAGGAACTCTGTACAGCATGGATCTGATGAAAGTACATTCCTACATAAACAAAGTTGTGGCACAGATGAACACTCTGGAAGAGGTAGGAGCAGTTATCACTGCAAGTGTGCCTAGTTGACCGGTATTTGCTAACTCATTTGTAAATGTTTGCCCCTGAACTGAGCATACTTGAACCACTATAAGCAAAAGCTGGAAAATGTGTGTGCCAGGTTTTCCAAAATATAATCTAACATACAAAATAGGTCTCAGGAGCATTGCTATATGTATGTCAAGTATACAGATTTTATACTGCTGACAACATGCTCTTCTACTAGAAAATGGTACCTTTTTGGATTTAGCAGCCATTAAAAGCAAAATAAATACTTTTTGGTTCCATGTTTTTTAGTAGGTATGTGGGTATATGTGTATTTTTCTTTTGAAAGATAAATTAATATGATAAGCTTAATATAAATGTTTTTTGTTTTTTTTTAAAGAGCAATCACAGCTAAATGTAGATGTAAATACTGCAGCAGAGCTAAAACTACTTGGGTTACCTTTGGGAGACTGGAGTCTGCGCTGGTTGGTCGTTCCAGGGATCAGGTGAGTATAAAAGGGTTATTAAACCCTCCGGCCTTTTTGTATATATATAAGGCTAGCAAGCAGTAGATAGATGCAAAAAGTTGTTTTAAAAAAAAAAAAAAAACTCTTTAACACGGTTTAAATTTACCCCGTCTTCGCCGCGCACTCCTGTCCGAAAATCCGAAACAGCTCAGGCGGCCGCAAAGCATCTTGGGGCGGGCGCATGCGCAGTTCGGATTTTCGGGCGGGAGACGAGGAGAGACACAAGGTAAGTATATGGACGCATGCAGCTGCATGCAGACACCGTGGGACAGGAAGTGCCAGCAATGACAGAGGAGTCAGCGCTGGATCGGACACCCGCCGCACTGGCCCCTGGAAAGAGCCGCGAAAGAGCCGCCCTTCCTCCTGGTTGTTATGCCACTGACTGGCTTGCACCTGCATGCAGACACTGTGGTACAGGAAGTGCCAGGAATGCCAGAGGAGTCAGCGCTGGATCGGACACCCGCCGCACTGGCCCCTGGAAAGAGCCGCGAAAGAGCCGCCCTTCCTCCTGGTTGTTATGCCACTGACTGGCACTGCTGCTGGTCAATACTGCGCCCGGTGACAGTACAACCTAGGCGGCTGCTTTGTTTCCCTCACAGGGCCCCACAGCAATGACTGGGCCCCGGGCACCTGCCCCCTTTTGCCCTGCTTTAAAGACGGCCCTGGTTACCTTAATCTAGGTTTAATACATTCTATCCAGATTACACAGACCATCTGACAGGGAAGGGTTGTACTTCCTGAAGCCTGCCTGCATTCAAACATCCAAAACAGATTTGATGGTAAATGGTTTTTTTTTTTTTTTTTTTTTTTTAGAAACATCTTAGCACTGGAATGTATCTTCTTTAGATCAGGCTTTAGGTATCTAAGATGCAATGTTTCTAGATGCAATGTTTCTTTTAAGCATCAGAAGCTTTCCATGTAATAGGATAACCAGAATAGAAGGCAAGAGGAGGGATGTGGGCTGGTACACTGGAATGTAGTTTTAATATTTATTCATTTTAAGTATATGCATACATGTAGGCAGCTACCATTCTCATTACACAAGTATGTTGTGCTCAGCATGTTGTATCTTACTCCTTTCTACATTCAAACCTCTTTACAACTCTTACCCATAATTATTATAATTGCCTGTATCCATATACTAATGAAGTTTAGCTAAGTCTTAACTGTGGTATAGTTTTATGCCTTGAGGCAATAGCTTTAATTGGATATTGATTATTGGCTTATGCTCTGCATCATCCATTTCTCTTAGGCTGGCTAGATATGTCCCAAGCACACCCTGATTCAATTGTCCAGTGCAACACAAGGCATCCCCTTTGCATGCAAGATTGAACGCATGAATTGAATTGCATGCTGGAAGCACTCATCACACATGGACAGCTTTTAAATGTCCTTGCAATTCGGCTGATACTTCAAGAAAGAAAGGTGTTAATAGTACAAAAAAAGGTGTCTCTTTGCTGTTGGGAGGCATCTGCTCCACTATGGGTAACATTTCATTCTCTTAAGAATTCAAATTGACCAACCTGAATGTGAAGTGAGGCCGTCAATAGACTTTAGAAGCTGGTTGAACATATAGGCATGATTTGATCAACCTGAGGTGAGAAAATGCTACAAAGTGCATACCAAAATTATAAAAACCATGCAACATTTGTCTTACGGTGCCTCTCTTCTCAATCAATGTAAATATCTGTGTAGATTACCTCATTGTTCAGCCTTGGTGGAAGGCTAGTAAATGTATTCCAAATAACAGGCACAAAAAGACTATTTTTTAGCTAGGTTTTTAGCAGACAATTATAATTTTTTAAGGTGTCCATACCAGCTTTCTGATATAGAAAATAAACTTTACATTCTTTACAGTTTATGTTCTGACTATATATTTAATCTGAGCATTTGTTGTGCAAAGTCTAGAAACTTGGCACTTCATTTAAAAAAAAATAAAAATCAAATTTTATCTGCTACTGTTATTTATTACAGCTAGAAATCGTGTGTCTGTTTATTAATGGGGTAACTTACTGAATGTAATTTAGTCTTTGTACAATTCAAAACATTGGTATGCATTAATAAACTTAATAGAGTAAGTATGGTTAGGTAGGGCAGGAGAAACGTGGACTGATTGTTAATGGTGGAGGAGAAAGGAGTGGCAGCTGTTCATGTGCCACTTGGAGCGGATGGTGAGGAGTAGCTTGTCATGAACAGCAGAGTGAAGAGAGAGGAGGTAAAGATGGAAACAACCATGGACTCGTGTAAAGGGTCTTGAGTAACTTATCACTTCTCTGGAAGTCCGTGACTGGAAGGGTGACATTTAGCCAACATGTGGTGCTTAGTGTTAAAGGGCAGGACTCCTGCAGAATTCTGCAATATCAGATGGCATTACATTTCTGTGTGAAAGTTTGTTTTAGCTATTGCAGCTAGGGACAGTGGACATAGTGTTCTGAGAAAACATACCACAGAAAGGAGAAAATTGTGGAGAATGGTGAGGGCAGAATGCAAGAGACACCATAACACAAAAGTAGTGGCATAGCAGCAGCTACATGACACAAAGCACAGGGGATTGGAGATCGTGCAGTACTTATTGTGATCATGACAGGGGGAGAGCAGTTAGAGTAAGAGAGGGTCTGCAAGGGAATGCTTTGCAGATGGTTTGGAATTGAGCTGCAAGAGAATAAAGAGTGTTCAGGTGTGACGTGGAAAGTTGCAAAAGAATATAGCTTGTGCCACAGATGTGATCTGTAATCAGGAATGTGGACCCTCCTGCTACACTTGCAGGGGCACCTAGATCAAAGGGTGCAAGCAGTGTAGGCTGACAACTCCCAGAGCTGGATTACTGGCAGGGAATAGAGCTGAGAAGCTGGATGAGACAATGGAAGTCCGGCTAAGCTGGAATTTCAGGTACAAGGCAGGGTGCTGCTAAGCTAAGTAGGTAGCATGGGGTCCCCAAGGCTGTGGAATCTAAGGGCCTGCCGGTGTTCACCAGAGCTCCTGAGGTGGAGATGGACTTGTCTGCGTGCTGATCCCAGGTCACGACCCCCAGGTTCACCCAACTCAGCTAACAGCTGAAGAGGACTCAAGTTCAGGATAGGCTGTGGACACAGGTACAGGGAACAAATCAAAGGTTAGGAACAGGCTGAATACTAGGACTTCCAGGGAGCAGACTGTAGACAAGGATTTCCAAGGACATGGTGAAGTACAGGGCAGACTGTAGACAAGGATTTCCAAGGACAAAGCAAAGCACAGGGCAGACTGTAGACAGGGATTTCCAGGGACAAGCCAAAGGTCGGTACACAGAAAACTATCAAGGGATTTTGCTTCAACAGTAAACAGGGGCCTCTGCATCTAGCTTAGGAAAGTGTTGCTCAGGCAGTGCGCTGTGAACTGCCCTGGGTTTAAATAGAGTAACCCAGACAGTGGAATCACAGGATTGACCACCAGCTGACAGCATTGATTTGACCTGAGAAGCTGCATAAGAATCAGCAGGGGAGGGCGGCCGATGGCTATTGCTGTCAGACTAGTGCAAGAGCAAGTTAGGAGGCGGGCATATGCCTGGATGAGTAACAGCACAACCTTGCATGGATGCTTACATGTTTATATTGTTATATATAGAAATAATAAAGAAATATCATACAAAAAAAGAAATGCTCAAAATCCTAGTAATACAGCTGATGCTGGGCATTTCCACTGCCTCAGCTTCACCACTCTCCATCCTCGAAATAAGCAACTATACTCGCCTCAACCCTCAATATCCTGGACTTAAAGTTATAGTACTCGTCCCCACACTCGCCATCCTGGAAATATATATGTAAGATTACTCACCTACCCACTCGCCATCTGGGATTCGGAGAAGTGGACTCACCCTCCATGTGCATGTTGTTGGATTCCCATTCACTTGAAGCCACAGGTTTCCCCTCTGTGCACTCTGCATAAGATCCATACACTGGATCAACCCCAATGCCATCCTAGTGCTCACTACATGGACTCTCCTGAAGGCTAGTCCTCTGTCTTTCCACTCACGCCACTGGGAACAACTAATGCAGCTAACCGCAAGTACACGCAATTATTTACATTACCTTGCAGACTTCCTACTGAGTTTAAATGTTACTTAGCATGCAATTGCAGGTTGCACTCTAACTGGCGAGTGACAACTTAGTGGTGATATATTGGGTGTAGCTCAAAAGGACTCAATTATTTCCCACCTTCCGGACAGGAAATTTGTGTATTAGCAGGTCTTTTTCTGTTATTATTCTGCAAAAGCCTGTATGAAGTAACAGTCTACCAGCTCACTTGAACTCCTCTTAACATAGGACTGTTGTAATGTACCCTTTCTACCTATTATTTGTGGTCACCTCCTAATCCTTCCCCTGTAAGTAGCCATAGTAGCAGCTCTGTCTGCAGTTGAGATCTGTGAAAGATTAATATTTCAGTTGCGTTGCCCAATCATGGCTCTCTCAGTGCACTGTGCTGTGATTGGGTAAAGCCTTTGCTTTA